AATTTTGAAAATTTCATTTTCGAAACCTGTGCCCGATGTGTCGACTTCGAACGATTTATACCGATTGTTTTTGATACTATGTGTTTTTAATTTAATCACTAGTGTCCACTGACGAAGGCACTCTGTGGCCGAAACGTCTGGTTTTAGGAATTTGACTTGTGTTGCCATCGATCGTGAATAAAACTAAAAAATGAGTCCATTTTGTTTTAAGTGAGTGATGGCAAAAACTAATACCCTGAATACTTGACGTCTTTAATAGTTTTTACTGTATACCTTGCCCATCCAAATACTACTTTGTCCTAAAATACGTCTGTCACGGAGTCAACTAATGTGTCCTCATTTTTTGCTAGTTGCGTGTAGAGACATAAAAAAATCTACCATAACTAAACAATAAACCAAACATACATCTGTGGGATAGGCTTACTGGTGTAGAAGAATATAAACAAAATTTCAAGATGGTTACTGCATTAGTTAGTTTAGAGTTATCCTGAAAATTTGACTGGGGGTGTTTAACGCCCTCTACTTTCTGTGGTGGGATTTGTATGTTAAGCTAAGACTAAGTGGCAAATTTTGAGTCATGGCTCAAGTGACGCAGGTTTAAACTTCCGAAATCGAATCAAGGCATATTTTAAGGCACTTACGGTGTTCCATTTAGGAGCGCAGCCCCATCTTCCTTGGACGAATCACCTGCATATTTGATCGACGAGATCCCTGCCCTGTATCTGCCCTGTATCCCGTCCTGCCCTGCCCTGTGGACCGTTCTGTGCCCTGCCCTGTATCCCGTCCTGCCCTGCCCTGTATACCGTCCTGTGCCCTGCCCTGTATCCCGTCCTGTGCCTGCCCTGTGGACCGTTCTGCACCTTGTAGCGTACCAACTATCCAGTGCCCTGGGTCCTTCTCTCTGCCCTGGTCTGTGCCCTGCCCTGGGTCCTCTCCAGCCCCATGCCTTTCACTCTGCTCTGCTATTTCCTGTGCAGTGCCCTGTCCTATGCCTTGCACTGTCGTGTCATTAACCTGACATTTTTCATCTTTTCCATAATATTTCCGAGTAAGATTTCAGTCAGGAGAAACACGGTGTTGTTAAAAGCATTGGCATGTTATCTTTGCGTTAACATATTTTACCATTTTCTACAACAGTTCCGTCTTGTCCGCTCTGTCCGCTCTTGTCCGTTTGTCTACCTTTCTTTCTCTCGTGCTCTTTTTCTCTGGCCCTCGTTCTCTTCTTCTCACGCCTTCTTTCCTTCGTGCTCGCCCCCTCTCCCTCTCTCTCTCTCTCTCTCTCTCTCTCTCTCTCTCTCTCTCTCTCTCTCTCTCTCTTTCTCTTTCTCTTTCTCTACCTTCCGACCTATCTTTCTCTGGTTCGCTCTCGCCCTCTTTCTCTCGCTCCCGCCCTCTTTCTCTCGCTCTCTCTCCAGCTCTCCCTCTCCCTCTCTCCTTGTATTCAGACGGGATATCACTTATCGAACACGTTATAATTCATTTTTAATGCGTAATAATTAACTGAATGATTCAACCACATTTTGTTACTGCTGGGCCCCGTACAGCCTTACAATGTTTTGACATTCCGTGTCGTCTGTAAGTGCGAGGTGCTAAATTAGGACACACACGTCAGGTCCCATTACTGATTGTCGTGTCACTGCTAGTCACGTTTTAAATCACTCGAAATAGTAATAACCACCTTTCAACGAGCTCACCCATGCCGTTTGAGTGAGCTCAGCTAATATCTCTAAGAAAATTGAACTAAATGTCTCTTGGAATAAAAAGGAAGGAGGGAGATTGAAGCCTTGAGGATAAGCATCACAAACCGGGATTCGTGATGAAATGAACATTTAGATAAAAAGCAAAAAGATGATGACGAAGAAAGGTACGAGGATTATGCTGCACGGGAAACCATTTCTGATTTATATATGAAATCAGATGTGGGAATCGAACCCACCTCCCGTGTATGCTTAATCCTCGATAAGTTAGGGAATAGGTATTTGCACTTAAAATCACTAGCTGAACGCCCACTCCATAAAATACCCTGTCAATTCACCTAAAAATTCTACTGGGCCTCTACGTTCTGACTGAAAATGTGTAATTTACCACCGTAGGCTATCCACTAGTTATTGTAAAAGTAGTTTTCCGATTTTGCTTGGCGAGATGCATGAGGACTCTGGGGTCAAAATTGTTTTTGAACGATAAAATATTTTATATTGTTCAAAATTGTTTTTAAACAATAAAACAATTTTGACCAATTTTTAAACAAGTAAGCTATTAGTACCGAGTTAGCGAACGTTTTAAAGTTTAAAACCAGAAACAAACTGTCCTCAAATGTCATTTTCGTGGAGTGGGTGAGTGCGCGTAGTGTCTACGCCTTGTGTGATTGTCAGCTGTCTAGGGCCCGTGACCGTCCCTCCCTGCGTCATATTTCGGCTACCATTTCTTCACATTTTGGTGGCACAGTTCATATCCGTGCCGCTGATCCAATTGAATACGAGGCCCGTATTCAAGTGGGTACACGGCATGAATATGAACTGTGCTACCAAAATTTGGAGAGATGCAGCCGAAATAAATATATGATTGTGGTGTGCGCGGCCCCGGACTTACTGGCCCGGGGCCTCATGCACATCACAACTTACACCCGACAATCCAAGGAACAATTCTGATCACCGCCGGCCGCAGGGGCGGTCGCACCGCGGCGCGACCGCCCCCGGTTGCCGGGCGGAGACCAGAATTGAACCCCGGACTGCCGGGTGAAAGCCTGATGTGCACCAGCCTCGCTGCCGAGGCGGCGAGGGACAGTGGTCGGACCTCGGACCCGGTGCCACGGCGGTCGCTGCCCCTCCCTACCCCACTCCACCCTGTGCCTGGCCCCGCCCCTGCCGCCTGACCCGCCCCCGGGCGGTCGCCGGTCGGCCGCGCGCACTGAGGGCCTGAGTCCACTGATTTCGGTTAGGTCTGATGTCTGTGACGCTTGTATACATAGTAAATACAATGCATGTTTACTATAATGTTACTACTATACGATTCTTTAATATGTGATTTATTTTTACTTCAATTGTTAGTGTAAAAACAATGAGCTATGTAAACGTTTGATACCGTAAGGTAGGGCTATTTGAGACAGTATTTAAAATAACTATAAAATAAAAACCACTCAAAATTTATGCTTAATTAGGGGAAGCGGGGGGAGCACCGCCACCTTAAGCATTTCTGCTCACCCAGCTGATATGCGCAGTAAAAACGGAGCTCTTTTGCATTCATGTGAAAGTAGGAATGTTTTCCTACATGTAAGCATAGTTTCCAGCGCTCCATTATAAAATTTCGCTACTTTACAGACATTGAAAACAAGTCCTGCATTTTCCGTCCTCCAAAAAATGTGCGGGTAGCACCGCCACTGATGGCGATGTTATCCACATATCGGCCTTACGGTGACAGCCACCCTTGGAAGCGTTACTGCTGTCTGAAATAGTAACTCAAACTCATAAGACACACAAGAGTTGGTTGTTTGTTTGTCACAGATCAGACTGTTTGTTGCGGACAATATGCATACAAAGCATGACAAATTCATGTTTATTTCGAAACATCCAGTGAAGTCAAACGTGAGGTTAAAAAAACAGACGACGTTTGCGGCCTAACTAAAGCTCTTCTCCGAGCCGTGTGAGTCATCATTGCAGCTTTATCCATTTTGCCACCCCTTGGGGTAGCACCGCCGAGCATGGCGGTGTTACCCCACACACAGTCATGGACCGACAACGCCCCGACATGAAAACAAGCCGGGACGCGATTCTTCTGTAATTCCTTTCTCAACGAAGAGCACTTCATGCCCTCAAATTTAACGTAAAAATCAAGGCATTTCGACTTGAAATGACCACTTACTTGCTGCTAAAACATGCCAAATGATTACAACGATGGTTTGAAATTCACAATATGGGCAATTGCGATCTCAAAATCAAATAAATCTTAGCGAAACCTACCTCACGCGGCGCCCCGTTTCCGTTCGGACACCGAAATGGCGGGTGTTTACATTTACAATTCAGAGTTTTGCCGATAGAGAGGATGGCGGTGTTACCCCCGCTTCCCCTACTTGCTCAGACGATTTACTGCTCGATTTCACACCTGCCTGAGCAAAAATTTCACACAAAAATCAAACGATCTTTATTTTATAGCTATTTTAAATACTGTCTCAAATAGCCCCACTTTATGGTAATTTTTTTAGTAACAGTTAACACAACGAACTTTCGAGCTTTGATAAAATGTGACTTGCAATTTTTCGAAATATACATTCCTGACGTCTTTTCTTTTTTCACAGGTCGTTCGCACAGAACAGACATTGAAGATTCAGACGGAGTGAATCAGGAGAAGTCCCGATGGTGTCGCTCACGGCATCTCTGCTGACAGCGACTTCCCGTCTGTGTTGTCTGAATAGACACACAGGTTGTATTTGGGGGAGGGGATAATCGGGCAAAATGAGCTTCCTTTTTGCCGGATTATCTCCTCCCTCTCGTTTATAGTGGGGGGAGGGGATAATCAGGCGGGGGTAGGTACTCCTACCCTCTTGCCTAATTATCTCTTTCCTCCCTCCCATGGAGGGGAGGAGAGATAATCGGGGGGAAGGCGGGGTTACACCTGTCTTCCCCTCGATTACCCCCTCCCTCCATACTTGGGTGGTATGTTTGCTGCTAGACATACCACCCAAGCACTATCTTTGGTGGGGAGGGGTACAGGGTGGTCCCCGGTGGACCACGTGTCGGGGATGTGCGTGTTGGGGGGGGGGGGGCGGCCACCAGGTGGTGGCGTCACCACCTGGCTGAACCCCCCACCCCCCCCCCCCCCCCCCACCCTCGACACTGGTCGGGGACGTGTGTGTTGGGGGGTTCAGCCACCTGGCTAACCCCCCCTACTCAACCCACACGTCCCCGGCGGTCCGCTGGGGGACATCATCTGTTACCCTCTCCCCCACCGACAGGGTATGGGAGGGGAGGGGGAGCGTGTATGTGTGGTATGATGGAAATAAAGACAAGAGGAAGCCGCTCCAACGTGTATTATTACGATATGGCCATGTGTGATCACATTGGACAGTACACCACCCTTCCCCCCTGTCAAGGACACTGACCTACACAACCCCCCCTCTACTACCACTACGGGAGGGGATAATCAGGAGAGAAGGTAGGCATACTTACCTGCCCCCCCCCGATTACCCCCTCCCCTACCATGTATAAAGGGAGAGGAATAGTCGGTGGAGGCAGGAACACCTCCCTCCCCGATAATCCCTCTCCCCCATACATGGTAGGGGAGGGGATAAAACAGGGGTAGGAGGCAGATGAGTCTGCCTCCCCCCGCCGATTACCCCTCTCCCCTTACACAGGACAGAGGAGGAGCAATCGGGGGAGATGGCAGGTAAGCCTCTCTCCCCGATTACCCATCTCCCCCTATGAATGGTAGGGGAGGAGTAATCAGGGGAGAGGGCAGGTAAGCCCACCTACTCCCCCCGATTACCCCTCCCACTACACATGGTATGGGAGGGGGTAATCCGGGGAGAAGGCAGGCTCACCTACCCCCCCCCTGATTAACCCCTCCCCAATACATCTCGACCCGGTTCTTCTGTCCTCCGATTCACTCCTTGTTTGAAGTTCTTCGCGTGCAAACAGCCTGTGGAAGAAGAAGAAAAAACGTCACGGATATGTTGTTGGAAATTCACATTTATAAAAAAAAAACATTTCAACAAATACACACACACACTTATTTCAGCTGCATCCGTCCAAATTTTGGAAGCACAGTTCACATTCATGTCATGAACCAGGTAAGATCGATAGATCACGAGTTAGATCGGTGACATGACTGAACTGTGACACCAAAATCTGAATGTACGCAGCTGATATGTCGCCGCACGACGTGGGAACAAACACACAAATACCTGGGCTACATGGCCAAGTAAATACGGATCAGGAACGGGTCTTCCTATTCGCTCAAGTCCGTTTGTAATACGCATTTCCTCTGCTCATGTGACCCCGTTCAAAGTGCATCACGTAAGGCACAACGCATCTAAAAAAAAAGAATATTAGACCATTGGGATGTTAGCGGTTGTATCACTAATGTTTCCTAAAATAGCGTTAATTAACCAGCTAATGACCAGTTTAACCCGCTGGTGGGGGAGGGACTATTTTTTGCCCCCCCCTCGTATCTCCGAAACTTAAGGTCACAGGTCAGGTCAAAGATAAAATGTTTTGCCGGTCACGGGTCTTCTTTGGAATGCGCTATAACATTGAGTAAAACGCTGCGCATTTTAGCGAAAATCAGCGACAGGGCGTCAGTTGCCTAGTACATATGTTGCTATTAGAGGTCACTGATAACACCGGGTCAGCGCATCCACATGAACCTAATTTTACTAGGGCTGTGTGATGGATGTTTTATGGTCAATTTTTCATTCCAAACTCAATGGTGTTGGTTATAAGACCATCATGAACTTGTTCTTGTTTGTCTTGTTGTGGTCACTTGTTTTCGCCATACCTTGTCATCATTTTTTTTTCTAAATTTTAAGTCATCAATTTTGAACAGTTTTATCGCCATACCACGGAATATATAGTCTACGACATGGAATGGACAGGAGCTTCGATTAGCATTGCCACGTGTGTAACCAAAAATCAAGGATTTTGCCGGATGAATATCCGGAGATCCGGAGGATGCGGATGAATTTCTTTCCACGTGGGTTTACATTTTCATATATTTTCTTAACATTTCATACATTTTTTCTTAACAATCGTCGAATGGTTCGTCTTCAAGGGCCAAGTTATCACTGTGACTTTGAAATGGTAACCGTATATTTTATTGGAAACTTTTAGCACACATTGTTACGGGAGCATTTATACATATTCATTGCATTAGAGTTTTAACATTGGTCTAAAATTAAATGAAATTCGATGAAATTCGTCTAAAATTTGATGAAGATGAGGAAGTGCGAGCACTCGCGCTCTACTTTCAGGGTCCCAGGACTATATATGGCCTTGGTCCCAGGGCGTATCGGTTCCTACAAAAACGGTACGTCCTTCCCCATCCTCGAACTCTGCGGAGGAAGATGGAAAAATACAGATGCGACCTGGCTTTCATGACGCTATCTTGGCTCTCATAAAAGAGAAGTTCGCCGGAGCAAGTGCCAAGGACAAGCTGTGCATCATTTCGTTCGACGAAATGCAGCTGAAACCAAGGTTGGCCTACCAGCGGGGTGATGACGTCATCGAGGGCTTCACTGGCCCATGGCTCTCTCTGCCGCGCCAATGCCTGCGCCGACCACGCCTTGGTCATGATGGTGCGGGGCGTCAGTGTCACCAAACGCTGGAAACAGCCCATCGATTTCTTTCTGAGTTCCGGAACGACCAAGGCCGTTGTGCAGCAGCAGCTGTTAACACAGTGTGTCCAACGTGTAAGTTGTAACAACAACAGCGGGATTCACTGTGCTAGCTACAACTTGTGACATGTCAAAGAACAACCAGGCGACCTACAGACTGCTCGGAGCTGCGGAAACCGGCTTGTTCACCGTGGACGGGCACGAGGTTACTGCTCTGTATGACGTGCCTCACATCTTCAAATGCATACGAAATGCATTAATGAAATACGATATTGAAGTAGACGGTGAAATAGCCTCTTGGAGTCATTTAGAAACACTCTACGCACTGGAATGCGCTTCTTTCCCACGGGCTGCTCCAAAACTAAGCCAGAAACACATCAGGCCAAACAGCTTTGAAAAATGAAAGTCAGCTATGCCCTACAGGTGATGAGCCGGACAGTAGCAGCAGCAATCACATTGCATGCGACCCACGGCAAGCTCCCGCGCACTGCACTCCCGACTGCTACTCTCCTGCTGCGCCGCAACGACCTGCTCGATGTGCTAAACTCTTCTGCCCGGTTCGACCCCTGCTCAAAGCGACGCGCGATATCCAGCCTCCATCCAGCAACGGCGGGAGAACACATGCAGTTTCTTCAGGAGAGCGACGCCTGGCTGCAGCGGTGGACGGTCGGTGGCGGCGCCAGCATCGACTCCATTCGAGGACTGCGACAAACGATAAAAGGCGTGGTGAAAATCTGGGACTTGTGTCAGGCTGCTGGGTGCACGTTCCTGTGCACTCGCCGCTTAAACCAAGATCCAAGCTACTGAAAATGAAAGAGTTTATCTCGGCAAAAATATATATTAGGCATTTACACGGTGCCTGTGTACCTACTTATAATGAAGAAACATTATGACAACGTTTGAAATGTTTAACACAACCCCTCCTCTAAGTGCATTTATGAAACGTGAGTGGGCCAATAAAGGCAACTAGTTTTAGCTGTAACAAAAAAGCACTTCTGGGCACGTAAATGGGGTATGTGTGGTAAAATGTGGTAAAATTCACCACCCCATATCGCCTCTACCGGAAACCCGTTTTAACCCCCGAAGGACATTGGCAATAGAGCAGGATCGTTCATGTTTATCAAAACAGCCGGCAACTTTCTATCGCAGCGAAAGGTTGGCTAGGACGAGAGTCATTGCTTTCACTGACTATGACAAACCTACTCGAACGGATTTTCACCTAGGAAGTTACCAACGAATGTTGAAAAATACAGCAGCACCATGAAAAAAACCTTACCCACCATCCTCAGCAACGCCGCCTCCCGCCGGCGTCCACCGGAAAAGGGCGGCAAACGAGCGAAGTTTAAATTGTCAGAAGTGATTCCCCAGACAGCAACACCTGATCAGAATAAAATGCACCTTCTCATATTGCCCCGGTACCCCGTTATGCCCCACCTTCCCCTATTAGTTATAGGTCTGGCAACTATACTTTCATCCTCGTAAAGGAAGTAACCACAGCGAATCCGCACGACTAAATCATCAGGTCGCCAAAAACTCGGCAGTTACGGGAAATCTCGATCTTGTCCATTCCATGTCGTAGACTATATATTCCGTGGCCATACCTTGGCCAAAAAAGAGGTATCGATCTAAAATTTGGTTCGTGAATAAACAGTAAGGGCTGTCACATATATTCCGTTTTTCGAAACTCGAAACTTTTTGGCCATTATACTAAACAAAGATGTTTTTATGTTTGGGGAAAAATTCGATAAATTCATAATTTCGAGATATCAGTTTAGTAGCCCTTGTAATTTTACACCTTTTATGTCTTGAACCTTTTTCTGTATCTTCAAAGCTATAGGCCTGGCAGCTCTTCCCGCGAAACCCTTTTTGGGTCGAAAACGGCAGAACATGTCATCACTCTGACGTCATTTACGGCCAACCTATCACAGCCTTTTGGATTTTTTTGTCGAAATGTGTAAAATTGATGCCTGGGAAGGTACTGAAAGTTTGGGGAATAGGGGAAGGAGAGAAAATAGCCCCCCCCCACACACACACACACACCATGGCGCGGGTTAAAAGGGCTATCGAGTGCGCTTTTCCGCTGCGCTGTAGCTCTATTGCTTCTCGAGTGATTTGCCGGTGTCTTGGAAAAAATTGAAATAGGCAACAGTTTACCTTTTACCTCTGATGACCTTAGACTTGACCTAAAAAATGACAGAAGTGTTTTGGTGATGACTTTTGACGCTTTTTCGAATGCCAATTACCGCTTATCGCTACGTGGCCCAGGAGCCGATTTGGGGGGGGGGGCGGGGGTGTTCACTTCAAACATCCCCCAACAGGGCGTGGAAATCCAGGACCCCCAGCGGGGCGCAATTTCAAGTGTGAATGTAACATTGTTCTTCGCAGTAAAGTGCAAAGAAAACTAATAATCCAAGAAAGGCGCCTTAAAGGGAACCTCCCACCTTTAAAAACGTTACTGAATTGGCATGGAAGTGACGTCGCTCGGTTCAAAAAGAGCGAAAACGAATATCTACCAAATTTCATCGAAAAATATTCACCAGTTTTCAAGGTATTATACTTTTACTTTTGTTTACCTTTTGGGATCTCCGCGGTTCTTAGCGACTTTATTTGAAAGTGCGGCACTTGTTGCGCACAAAGCAGCATATACCACCGCGTGCTACCAAACGTTTTAGCAAAAGATTTAAAATCGGTAGATCTGCGTTGACGTCACACATTCAGAGGGGGCATTCTAATGCATTAGCCCCTCTGAATCCAAGTGCTGCAACTTTGAAATTTGATATTTTCGATTTGAGGCATTTCTCCACCTTGCGAGTGCTCAAACTGGTAAGTGCAAGCCAGGGACCCCATTTTGGCTATCTCAACTCAAAACTAATGTTAACTCGCGCCCCACTGGGGGGGGGGGGGGCTATTCATAGCCCCCTCCCGTTTTTCTGCAATAACTTCCAAACCACTTGACGTATCAACGCCAAACTTTCAGTACCTTCGGCTGCATCAATTTGACACCTTGTGTCAAAATTTGAGCTTCGTAGCTACCGTTTTTGACTTTTCGAAAACAAGGAATAAATGTGACAGAACGCATGCTTAGGACTATCTCTAGCAAGTTTTAGCTAAATATCTTCAAAAATGGCCAAGTTATACACATTATTGCAAAAAAATCACAATTATTATTTTTTCAGATCAATTTTTCAGTACGTATTTGACATCGTACACCAATATAAATAGCACCATCGTGTTTCTGAGCACAAACTGCATCCAATAGACACTTTTTTGTTGAAAATTTAAACTTCAAAATTTGACCTTTTTGACCTGAAAGTGACCTGACATAAGCTAAATTCGACTCAAAATGACCTCGAATGACACAGACGACATCAAATTCGAAATATATGGCCTAAATGGACCATAAAACATGCGTCAAGTGACCGACGCATGATATAATATTTCCGTGACCTGTGATGACCTGACCCTGACCTGAAAATCAAAGTACATGTTTGGTACCCTCAAGGTATCTAGAGCATCTTTTCACGAGTGTGTAAAAAATGAGCCTGATCTGACTTGTAAGACGGCGGCCAGAGCCCAAAATGGGAACAAGCCGAAATGCTAATAATTTTTACTTTGACCTGACCTGTGACGTCATCGGTCACCTCGAGGTCAATGAAATTAGGTTTCGCTCGACAGTTTTTCCGGGGCTATCAGGCGCCGTTTGAATTTTGACGATCGGCCCAGTAGTTTCGGAGTTAGGAGGGGGGCTATGAAGAGCCCCCCCCCCCCCAGTAGGGCGTGTTATACGCAGACCTCAGTGGGGCGCGGGTTAAGATGGGATGGTCACTTTAATCAGATCATCCTTAGAAGAATGACATTTTTCAATAGTTCAAAATCCATGCATCCAGGTCCCATGAGCCCAAGGTGGCCATTAGTGCGAAGGAAAATAAAGGTAATCAGTGCATAAGCCAAAAGGTAGCATCAGCGGTTAGGCTGGCAAGGCTGGTGGTCCGTCTTTCCCGCTGGGCCGTCTTACCCCACCTTCCCCTAAGACGTGCTAACATACGGCGTTAATCCGTTTGAACGGTCGCCTACCCTCCACGATACAACAAAGGCTGCCCCACACTGGACCTCGCATGCAGGTGCGAGTCTACGAGTATGCAATCAGGTGCAAGAGCTTTATTTTGATATTCTGAGTCCGTAACGCGATGATGAATAGCTTAACTTTGTTGAGATCATAATTGCTTGGAATTTCCTCATATCTAAATTGAAAGCGCGTACATGCATATGATAACACGACGTCCCAACAAATAATTTTTTAACATACGAAGGCCGTCTTTTACCGTTGCTATTATCGGTTGCTTGGACCGACAGAATCATGGAATATATCTTAAAGCTTTTGGAAAATTAAGTTAGATAATACGTGTCGAATGAGTTTGATATGGCTTGAAAGGTGAAATACAAGTTAGAAAAGTGTATGAAGATACGCCTTTTCTGGAGAAATGTTACCAACATAACCATGTCGTTTACATTCCATTAGACCAAATTTCGATAATGGATTAGAAAATTAGACATTAATGCATTTAAACATTATATTAAACGAAGCAAGCGTCGAGATAATTAAAAAATTGTGCCCTGTGCTTTATTCTGGGAACATTTCCGAACTGAACTAACACTTACTGCGCCTCAAATTGGCAAGAACAAAGTCTATCAGACAAAAAGTCGCAGGCTCGCACCACTCATGCCAATGGAAAACTTGTGAACTTCGAAGAAACTCGCGAGGACTAAGTCCAAAGTGGGGCAGCCCTAATAACAATGCATTGGTGTCACAACAGATACAGTGCTCCTTCGGTGCACCGACCCACCTGGTAAGCCGACTCCTGTGGCGGGTCCCGGTGGTGTGCTGAAGCGGGGCCACCATCGGTGAACCAGTGTTCTCGGGTGAACCTGAAATAAAAGTACAAGGAATAAATGCCGATCCCGCGTTGTGCGTTAATTTCAGACACAATTCATTCATTTCAAATAAAATAATTAAGATCAATTAACCTATCTTTTGGTTTGAGGCGTTGGTGTGTTGAAGCAGTGCCGCCATCTCTTCTGTGAGGTGAACCTGGAACAAGAACGTAAACGAATAACTATACATTTCAGCTTGGCCCTATATGAACAAGCATATCAAAGTGACATCAAAACCATTGAAAGTTCATACGTTTTTAGGGGGGAGGGGAATAAGTACCAGCCAAAACGTTTGACTTACTGTTCTTCCAGATATGAGACCGTCGGACATTCCGGAGTTCGGTGGAGGTCCGTTCCGTGGTGACTGGTCGATGGACGGACGTCTGGTGTCAGCTGTACCGGAGTCACACTCTATACTGCACTGCCGCACCTGTCGGGGAGAGATGGTACGGCGTCAATGGAGCGCAATGGCCGATGTGGGATCACGTGTGAGTACAGAGATGTATACCACAGCGACAGTAGAGATGATAAGTAGAGAACATCCAGCGAAAATAGCACGTGAACTTTGATAAAGTATGGTGGGGAGGAAAATGCGCAACTCACGTTTATGGTACGATGACTCGACTACGCCCGAACCCCTCTGATTAAAGAAGGCTGCAATTTCGTGTACCCGCAATGCTCGCACAAGTTTTGTTTATAACAAAACAAAATACATTCGAAAGAGTCGCACAAATCAGTCAAAGACAAACTTGAGAAGAAGAAAGAAGCATGTGTACTGTGCGGGCTTTGGGTGAGCGATAATTCAAGCAAACAATTATATACAATCGCCACTAGCCAAATCCAGTGCTCAGCACGCCCTTACCGTTCAGTCTCCTGACTGGCGGACCAGATGTCATTGGTCTCGAGCGTCGCCGCACCCACTGAAACGACAAAATAAAACCATGTCACCTGCTGGGAGCGGTGGACACGATTCATTAACCGTGCTTAGCTAATAAATACTATTATACCTTTTCTTTCGGCATGGCAACGTAATAACGTGACTCAAGATGTCAACAACACGTAGCTATAAGCAACTGCTCCTGATGTGCATGTCTAATGATTATCACAAAATGTCGCAAAACTACAATAGCAAAATCTCAAACGTGTTTTTTTCAGAATGATTAGCGCAAGCTTATTTAATACGCATTTACAACGGTTAATCAAAATTGGCTGAATTTTCCGCACAACATAACTATTTTGCTCTAGTATCTCTGCAAATTCAGCACTGCGCTTACCGCAGCACACCGACCTGATAAGCTAGAGTTCTTTGGTGGAGAGCTCGGTGGTGTGCTGGAGACTGGAGTACCGGTACCGTCTTCCTCGGTCCCGCCAGTGAGCCTGAAATAAAGCAACAAAAGAATAACGTCACATCTTAGAGAAGCCGCACAACGTCGTCGGGATAGAGATTGTATCAAAATCACTGTAAATTGCCGCACCTGTCGCCTGTCGGTGAGATGGCACAGCGCTAACACTTCACAGACACTTGCTATTAGCACTATAAGCATTATGTGCAGTGTGGTGTACGCTGTTCCGCAGGGCTAGAATGCTACTCATAGATGTCGCTAGTAAACAGCGCCTGAAGTTATACTGTGCCGCATGGTTATAATCTTGCCAATAGATGTCGCTAGTAAACAGCGCCTGAAGTTATACTGTGCCGCATGGTTAGAATCCTGCTCAAAGATGTCGCTAGTATACAGCGCCTGAAGTTATACTGTGCCGCATGATTATAATCCTGCTCAAAGATGTCGCTAGTGTATGACGCCTGAAGTTATGCTGCGCCGCACAGCCTCCACCGGCCGGTATAACACATAGAGCATAGGTGGACACTCGGCAACCCTTTTACATGCAGAGTTGGAGGAATATGACGGCAATTTAGGGCTTAGGCCTGCGTTCGGCATCCGGAAAATATTATCGTTTGGACATTCCCCGCCGGAAAATTATTGGTGAGCGCCTATCCTCAGCATGTCTCGTTATCACGATACCGAACATCATCCCCGATAATTCTCGCTGAACCCGGAAAATTCTCCCTGATTATCCGGATGCTGAATGCACGCTAGCTAAGCTGCTTTGTCATGCCATGTGCAATCAAATTGAAATTGAATTTGAAATCCGTAAAAGTTACACATGTAGGTATCAAATTATTCAACTGTATTTATACCTTTGCTAAATTATGTGTCCGCTTTTCAGAATATCAACACTTCAAAAAAAACAACAACAACAACAACAACAATAACCCGCTTAATCAATTGTCCTACACACGAACCAAAATTAATACATTCCGGCCATAAATGAGTTAACATACCGCCCTCTGCTTACCCTTACCGTTCGGAGTCAGTCCGTTTATAGGTCCGAGGTGGCCGGAGTTCGGACCACGGACCGGAATCTCGGGTCAACAGTGCAGCCGCCGGACGGGACTCGGCACCGGGAGACCGTCCAGACACCGCGGACAAACACTGAAACGGTCAGAGGGGTATCGCGTTAGCCCCATTGTCACTAGCTAACGATTATTTATGTCTAAGGGGAAGGGCTGCCGCCACCGTCGTTGTGAAATAATTTACGCGAATTTACATAGCAAAATTGTCATTTTTGATATTGCATTTATGAGATATTTCTTTTTAATTTGATATCCTTTTATGAACGATATCATCCATTACGTGATTAATGTACAATGAATGACGATAAGTATTCACGCGGAGCTGCGAATGTTTTACTCGTATCTCGCGGCTGGGCTTACACTCGTTGAAAAGAAAGCTTTCCTAGCTCACGTTCGACACAGGTGACGTCTGAATGGTAAATGATATACAGGATTCTTCATGGCTCACTCGTGGACGATTAGATATCCTTTCTTCGCGAAAAACCTCGCTCCTTCGTCGTTCGGTTTTTCAGTAACCCGCTTGGAAAAGATGTACTTATCTTCCACTCGGAGCCATAAATAATACTATTTGTACTTCGATGTACTTACCTCTTGAAACTGAAGCCGAAATTTCTTCCAGAGACCACCACCACGCCGGGAGCCGCCCGCCCGCCCGCGCCGAGCGCCCGTAGCAAAAGCTCGCGCGCGCGGCGGCCAGCCTCGCTCCGGCCGCCCGGCCACCGCCCGGGGGCAGGTCAGACGCAGGGGCGGCGTCAGGTGAGCCGGGCCGGGAGGGCAGCGGCAGCCACGTGGGGCGGGCAGAGGCGGCGCCAGGCATGAAACCCGGGGCGGCAGCGGTGTTGGGGCCGAATATATGCAGACGTGAAGGCTCCCAGCCTCGCAAAAATCACTGGCAAGTATTTAATCTCGAAAACACAACAGTATGAGTTTAAAAAATCGGAGGTGAAATATGCTAGAATTTGATATCTCTGTAGTTCCGATGAGGGACGTAAGAGATTGTGCATTTTTGAAAAACTGAAACGCCTGGTGGTCATGATCAGAAACGATCCACAGCACTGCAGATCAATCTCTGTCTCTCTGTGTCTCTGTCTGTCTGTCTGTCTGTCTGTCTGTCTGTCTGTCTGTCTGTCTCTCCTCTCTCTCTCTCTCTCTCTCTCTCCTCTCTCTCTCTCTCCTCTCTCTCTCTCCTCTCTCTCTCTCTCTCTCTCTCTCGTTCCTCTCTCTCTCTCTCTCACTCTTTCTCTTTCCTTTCTCTTTTTTTCCTCTCTCTCCCTCTCTTTCCCTCCTCTCCTCTTCTT